TCGCGCGATATTGCATGATAAGCGAATTAAGTCTCGCATCGCGAAATCACATTATCTCCGTATAAAATCACTGTGCGTATTACAAAGTTCCACCATCCATTACCGTCGGTCTGATCGTCGCACTATGTGTGGCCTCCGATATCCTGAATATCTCGAATTTTATACATATACACAATTAATTTGATTACATTACGATACAGATTAATACACCGTTTACATAAAATGTGACAGACACATGATTTCGCGACAATATTCAGGATATTTTTCCGTCATATTAATAATGAGCATTAATAATGAGCGTTACTCGCTAATACCGCCATTCCTAATTATCCACTTACATTATTATTATCGCGATAAACTGAATTTTTTCCGATACATTAGACAGAGCACGTTACACATCGCGCATTACGTGTATTTTAATAATGATATCTTATGTACATTCTAGCGGCTGTCTCTTGTGACAGACTGTTTGTTGGATCGTAACAATAGCACCACCTGTTAATTAAAAGGCATATGAAGTCATAAGATGAGAGATTTGCTAAGTAAAGAGATCGATGCTTTACAAAACAGGGTGCTCTAAAAAAGAGAATTGGGAGCTTCGCTTGCATAAATCATAAGTAAACTAAGAAATATTTGTTGACATAAATATATTAATTATTTTTTAGAGTTTTTTAACAATTAAGGTAATCAAAGTAAACTTTAAATGTCTCAACGACAACGGACAATGACGTTTTAATTAAAAGATGATTTTAAGATGATTTTGAAGACACACTTTTAAATTTAAGATTTCATCTATAGGGTAAAATTAAATTCTGTTGCTAAGGATGACAAATTAAACAGTTAAATAATGAAAGATAACATCTAAATTTATTCTCCAAAGAAACATAATTATTAAAAAAAAGAGAGTCAAGAAAAATTTTTGGAACTCTCTATGCTTCAATTGTTACATGAAATTGCGTATTCATATACTAGAATGAAATGTAGTTAATCTATTTTACGAATCTATCGCGATAGCAATATTAGCAATAGCATATTGCCTTTCTTTGAGACAATTTGTCGTTTATTGTTGCCTTTCATTGTATTTTATTATCGCCGCTTATATAATAAAACAGTGATATTAGAATCATAGAAAAGTAGCATTATAATTAAATATATTAGTCGAAGGTTAATACAGAGATAGGATAGAATTTTGATTTATTTTGTTATTTTGCCTATCGTTAGAAAAGTGTAGAATAACAGATTGAGAGGAAATCGATGATTTTTTTTGTTTAATCGACTTAATAAGAAGATCCAATTTGCCATCTGCAAGTTTATTTAATCGATAACCTGCACGGTCTGTACTCTTATTTACTAATTGTAAGTAAGAAACCTATTTACGACTGGCATGTTTCTTATATGTTTTCACCAGCCAAAATCTTTCAGGAAGTTTTCTTTACGAAAAAAAAACAATCCGAATCTATATAATCGATTGGGATAGATCATCTGATGATATTTTCACTTAATAAAATTGTATTACATAATGAAAGCTAAATATCGAAGCCTTTTCCTGTGTACGTCTTTGTGGCATCGTTGTGACATAGTTATGACGCATTGCTGTTTAGAAGATAATCCGCTGATTTAAGCCATTAAATTAAAAAAAAAAATAAAAACATCTTTGAAGTTTATTAATCAGCAATGCAATCTTCTGGAAAGATTCGAAATCTAAAGGGATATAACGCGCGTATGAACGATAGACACATTTGTGAAATAAACATATTTGCGCTTATATTTGCGACGAGACGTTGCAGATAGATAAATCTCATATCATAGATATTATAGATATTATAGATAAATTTCAATTTAACCCAGCCGCGCCCGCGCTGCTCGCGCAAAATTAGAGGCGATTCGAGTCCAGGAAATGCGTTACGTTTCTTCCGCCGCGTATCGAAATGCGACTACACGAGGAAGGAATCGGATGTAAATCAAACTCGGATAGCCGTGAAACGAGCCTTCAGACGAGACGAGGTCAGAGACGGAGTCCTGGAAATAAAATTACATCTTCGATCGTGCGTAAATGAATTTACCGCTATCCTGTCTATCGATTCTTTCTTGGCACGTCTCTGCCAATTCGGGGAATCGCAACCAGCGCACGATATTTTTTTTCTGCTGCAATGCTTAATTTAAAATAATATAAATAATTCAGTTGGAGAGTATCAAGTTAAATTTCTGAACATTTGACTTTCAGAAATTGAAAATTTCTGCAAAAAAATTGTAGAAACATTTCTTAATTTTTGCTAGTCTATAAAACTATTTTTCTTTGTAACATATACTTTAGAAACATACATATAAAATTTTGAAATTACCGTTTAAATTTATATAAATTACTTATTACGTATGAAGTTATATAATTTATGTAAATGAGTAAACATGTTGAAATGCTATATTAAATTACTATATTAAATATATGAATATCTTTAGAATTAATTTCTCTTGGTCTCTCGATGAGATGAGAGAACAAAGAAATCACACTTAATTACGCTTAGATTTATTCTTATCTATCTTTCTTCAAGGATACCGGCGCACATATACGTGCGCACATTTAGTTTCTCTTTTAATTATAATAATTAAGAGAGAAAGAACGATATTCACTACAATAGGAACTTTTTCAGGAAAAATAAATGATATTTAGCACGATATTTTTGTTTTTATCATTTCTTACTTTTCTATTTATTTTTTGTTGCCGAGTTGAATGAAATGTAGCAAATAAAACAGTAACGGTAACAAAAACATTCTTTTCTAACTTGACAAATTTGCCCCTGAAAAAATTAAAAGACTAAAAAGACAATATACATAATATACATTAACTCTCCTTTTATATCTTATCTCATATCACACTATAAAGATTTTCCTGAGATTTACGCGAAAGAAAAGTAATTATTACAAGAAAAAAGTGAGGCAATTAAAACCGGAAAAAGACTTCACAAAATCTCTCCCTGGTTGCCGGTCTTGTCGATCCGGTAATCGCATTAGAGACGGTAATTACGACACCGCTCGCAGTAACGTGAAACCGGTAGGTCGGGTAAAGTACTGGACAGGGTTATGCAGATTGCTTTATAACCTTGTTACCGATCACTCTATTAACCTTACGAGGTTCAAGTCCCAACGCTCTCACCAGCTTGTTCCTGTTTCAGAAACCGAACGACGACAGAAACAAGAGACGAAAAGGGACGATAGTAGCGTCTTCTTGTCTCGCGCATTTGTGACGTTCACAACCGAAATAAAATTGTCAAAATCCTCTTTAAAGTCCGCTTTTTAAAAATTATCAGTAATTCAAATGAAATCCGTAATAAAAGATTGTAAAAATACGATCTTTTTTAAGTCATACAAAATTCGCTTGCTGACACGTGACGAGCTTTTTCATTAACGGTTTTAACTCGATTCTCGATCTCATCGTGATTCGAGATCGAGGACGCGTTATATCGAAAAAAACATTCTTCGTCAAGTGATGCAGTCGAGAGGAACCTCACACTCTCTCTGGGATTCTCTGCAATTCGCGAGAAGACACTCGTGTGTCTTCTGCAATTCATCTTTTGAACCCTCTCAATTCGACATCCGAGCTTTGACACGAACTCAGTTCAGAGAAAGATCGGCGCAAGGGACGTGTGTGGATGACACGTGGAAATGAGGGCGTTTGTTCTATAGCCGAGGATCACGATCAGGAAATCCGGTGTTATGCGACTAAGGGATACCAGAAGTGTCCCGGCTATCCGAGATGACGTGCCAACGTCAGTCTAAAAAGTCCATAAACGTGTCTGGCAGGCGAATAATACTGCTTAACATGTTGATGTAGTGAGAAAGAATTGTCGAAGATGACTCGACAGTATAATAATACCGACGTCTATTTCATCGATGTAGAAGAATGTAAGAAGAATACAATCACAATCCACTTTTCTTTCTTAAAATAAAAATTTTAAATGTCGATTATACAATTGATACATTATACAATTAATTAAATGTGACATAATATTCTTATTGGACGTATTTATTTTAGTAGTATTATTTAATTTTTACATTCATGTGGTTATTATAACATACAAAAAAAAATAACGTTTCCCTTCTCGTTTAAAAACGTTACGATGATTTAAAAATGTTTAAAAGAAAGATGATTTATTCGAGAAAGTTGAAAAAAGGTTGATGAAAATTACACTGCATTTCTTTAATTCGTAATAAGAAAAATTATTGTATAAGCGAATAAATTGATAAATTATTGATAACTTATCATTTGTTACAATATGTATTACTTGCGTTTCAAGAAAAAAAGACAATCATACATACCGATAAATTATTATTAATAATTAATTATTTACGTTAATTAATGTAACACGTTACTTAAGCACGTACAATACCGCAATACGCATTGTTAATTAATTATTAATAACAGCATAGAGAGTAATTCGCTTATACAGTCAATTATATTTCTGCCTTGTATTGTTTCAAATAATCAGACATTAATTGCATTAATGCAGTAAATAGTATAGATTGTACGAATGTTGATTCAAGTGTGTCAATTGTGTCTGATAAAACACATAAAATTCGCCGCTTTTAAAAAATTTCCAATATCACAAAACGACAGATATTTGAAAATTATTTTAATTTATTTTGTTTAAGGTGAGGACGGTAACTCTTTCATGCTCGCTTGCGTGCTACGTTAAGTGATAAAGCGCCGACGGTTATACGAGAATCGTGCGTAAGGATACTTCACCCGATAAATCGTGGTACACGGATCGTAAGGGCCATCGTATTTCTTACGATTAAGTTTATGTGAAACGTCGCACGTTTATGGGAAGGAAATAAATACACGAAATGAAACAGATGAGCGAAATTATATCATTATCATAGTAACATAGCAATGAATTGGAATTTATCAACGCGAATCTAATCGAGAATAATTTCTTAATAATACATCGCGAGTTGGGCTCTCTATGTTTATTTAAAATTATGATAAAGAGGAAGTTACTCACTGAGATCGGTCGGTTCTGCCGGAACGAGCGTTCTCCGCTCCTGTATCGCCGCTATCGTTGCTAGCCGTCGAAGCCGCGGCGACCCGGCTGGCGAGGAGTGTCGGTGCACCCCGATAGATATTGCACGGACGATTGAGAGCGATAAGGGCGATAAGGGCGCATCTCACCTCGCTCGTGCCGGCCCGAAGCCGTCGCTCTCTCTGCTCACCACCGTCTGCGTCTCCTGTGCTTCTTCGACGTCCTCTTCTTGATCCTCGAAAAGATCCAGAAGCCCCCAGCCGCCGGTAGGGCGCATGGTCACTGGGTTCCCCGCTTTTCACCTCTTCGCATTCACCCTCTCGTCCTCTTGTCCTCCTTTCCTCCCCCTCTCTCTCTCTC